GTTATGTAAATAGTTTAAAATAGTTGTAAAAAAAAAAAAGAAAAAAAAGAGGGGTAAAAGGTGGCTGCAAATAGCTTTGTTGTTTGCAAAACTTGTGCATATGATTTTTAAAATTGACTATTTATATTTACATTTAAAGTTATGAAATATGTTTCATTAAACATGTTTGTGGTTGTTACAGTAAAAATATAACTTTTTCTACTCAGATTTTAAGTTTTTTGTCTGATTTGAGATCAATTGTGTTAATACAATATGTCAAAATGAAAACATAACTGTAAATTCAGACGAGTGTGGTTGTGCTGAAAAGGATGATACCAAACAAGGCAAAGTAAATAGTTTTTAAAGGTGAAATGTAGATGTAAAATCAAAAGTAGTTAAAAATAGCCAATTATACCCTGCACCCCAGAGGGTTAAAACATTTTTTTTTAAAGTGACACAATAGTTACTTTTCAAGTAATTAATTACTTTTAGAATCTTGTAACTCAGTTACTAATTCAGTTACTTTTTTAAAGAAGTAACTAGTAACTATAATTAATTACTTTTTCAAAGTAATTAAGCCCAACACTGCTGACAATAAATAAATAAATAAATAAATAAATAAATAAATAAATAAATAAATAAATAAATAAATAAAATCCTATAAATTCACACATTTCTCTGTTCCAAACAATAGGACCAACCAAGCCTGTGTCATTATTTGGTCAATAGCAGCTTGAAGCACCCCATTCCCAAAGTCAGGTCAGGAGTACTGTGGCTAACTTCTTTCTGAAAATCCCATGGGCCACACCAAATCTTAAATTATCACTCTAAACAAAATCTATCAGAAAGTTATGCATTTACTTGAAAATGTTATTAAAACCCATAAACAACGCAGGTTGTTAGCTGTTGCCATTGCTACCCAGTTATATGCAAAGAGGTAAGACAAATGTGTGACCTACCTGCTATATCACAAACGAGCCACCTTATATGTTTCAATTAACTTTTCATATAAATAAATACATTAATTTCTAAATATTTACCAGTAGTACATACTTGTGAGTAATTTCAAACTGGATTTCTGATGTACCCACAGTACCTTTGCAACCCACACTTTGGGCATCGCGACCAATAGTAGAATCATGACTGAGGAGAACATTAATGGACCTATGCAGTTCAGACCTTGGGAAGTAGGCTACTTATTAGCTCATGAGGCTCTCTCCAAAGCACTTGAAACTTGTAAATTTTTTATAAATGTACTGTGTGTTTATAGATATTATCCATGCCAGTTTGTGATGTGGATTAAGAAAGGTTGTTTATGCTTGAAGCAAACTGTCACAGTTGGCTGCCCGATTTTGTCGAGCATCTCCTCTGGAACTGACCCAGAATAGGCACAAACATCTCACACAGTATAAGACTCTTCTAATAAAATAATAAGTTCAAGGTACTTAGAGAATGTGCACATTTCCCACTGTAAATGTAGTCCACAACATGTTTCACCTCTTAATCTTTTGAGTTTGCTATATGACGGGTTGCTGTGGACCCCAGGTTTGTGAATGCAATAACTCAAGAATGAGGTAAATGAGGTAACACAGAATTTTCAAATCAATACCATGGTTGTATCTACTGAAAATCTCTGTAAGGCTTAAATCTCAGGGACCTTGACTTCAATTTCAGAGCTCAACTTTTCTAAAGAAAAGAGGATTTTCACATTTATATCGCAGGCATGTCTACTAGGACAGCGGTCCCCAACCTTTTTTGCGCCACGGACTGGTTTTTGCCCGACAATGTTTTCATAGACCGGCCTTTAAGGTGTCGCGGATAAATACAACAAAATAAAACTAGTACCGGTACCGAAAAAAAGAAAATTTATTCATAACACACGTGAAAAGATCAAGGAAAACCGAGTAAACGATAAAAACGATAACAAAATAACACTGAAAACTGATAAAAACCCTGAAAACTATACATTTCACACCTGAGCCTCAACTCTCGCGGCCCGGTACCAAACGACTCACGGACCGGTACCAGTCCGAGGCCCGGGGGTTGGGGACCGCTGTACTAGGAGGCTAAAGGGTAGCACTATATTTTTAAAAAAAACAACTAACAATTAGCTGATGCTTAAAGCTGGTTCATTTAATTAACATCCAATTTGTATCAAATTAGGTCTGATTGAAGGACTGATATGATGGTAAGTTGTCCGCTGCTCCGCTTTGAATATTGGTAAGAACTTGACACAGAGATTACTTAATGGATTTTAAGCAAAATTGTGCCTAAGTTTAAGAACATATTCATCAGTTGTTTTTATTTTTTTAGGCCTTTTTTTTCTTTTAAATTTTCACAAGAATTGGTAGTTCCCCTAGAGTTTTGGCCACCCTAACAATCAGGTGATTCCCTATGAGCAAGCAATTAGCGACAGTGGGAAAGAAAAACTCCCTTCTAAAAGGAAGAAACCTCGACAGAACCAGGCTCAGAAAGAGACAGCCATCTGCCATGACTGGTTGGGGTGGGGGGAGTGAAAATTTCAAAGAAAAAGAGAAAAGCCAAAGTGATAATTATTGGAGCCGCTTAATTAATTCTTGCAGTGTAATTTGCTGTTAATGGCCTTTTCCAATCCCTGTATATGTTTTTGTTACTTTTGTCCAGGGTTGAAGCAATGCTGGAGATTGATTCTGTGTGATCTTTCTCTTTTCCAACTTGAAGGCTGCTGAGAGACCATGCCAGTGCAGGCCTGGGTTGAAAAAGGGATGGTGGAGATCCTCCGAGGGTGTTATCCGCTGGTTTGGATTCAGGGCCAACATCTGTTTGATTAGGCTGACAAATAAATGTTGTCTATTTTCAGGTTTTTCGCTATCTTCCAGTACTAGTTCTTCAAGGTCATCAAGACACTGGTTTTATGTATCGAATATCCTTGGATTGATAATCTGTCTCATCTTGAAATTGCCTTTCAGTCTTAAATGTCCAGCGCTGTCCATTATCATTGTCTTTTATGAAATAGTAATTGGTGTAGAAGCCAGAGTCTAAAACATGATCTAAAACATGAACAAGTTTGACTTTGATGGGACACTCATCGTGGTCCACAAACATTATGTTTCCAGGTTTGAGGTCAGCATGCACTATTCCCAAAGAACCCAGGTGGGACAGAGCATTTGTGAGCTGATGTAACACTGGCCTCAATTCACTTATTGCGAGACCCTGGTTATTCCAGTCCCGCAGGCTTTGATCGAGGAGTTCAAAATCTAAGCAGATCCGCTGGTGGTCGAGGAAAAAGCCGTTCCATTCCACAATATTGCATCTATCTACATCCAAGCCTTGCAGCTGCTCCAGGATGAAAGTTTCCATTTTTGCCTGTTGCAGAATTTCGTGGTTGCTCTTGTTGACTTTAACCTCCTAGGACCTGGCGTCCACATATGTGGACATCACATTTTGGGTTATTTAGACTAAAATACTCAATTTTGCTCTACAAGGGCCTGATATCCACTTATGAGGACATTATACCGCTACTCTTCTATCAAAATTTTAAACGAATATCCTCATATGTGGCTCTCATTTTTCTTGGAAACAAAAATCAGGTAAAAAAAAATCTTGTAATTCTTTGTTTTTACATTCATCAGGTCCCAATATGCCCAAATATCAAAAAGAAATTAAAAATGCATGCCATGGAAGAGTTCGGGTCTTAGGTTAATAGCAACAAGTTTGTTGGGTTGTGTATTGCGACATTTGGTTACAATACCAAAGCTCCCTTCTCCGAGGAAACCCTCTACCTCATAGTAATCTCCCAAAATGGTCCCTTTAGATATTTCAAGGTCATCTGAGCTTAAGGACGAGTTGGCTGACATGGTGAAATGTGTTTGTTTGCTTGGTGAATTGGTGAGAAACGTTTCAAAATTTTTTGGTTTATGTTGCAAAACTCTCGCAAAACTTTTCAAAAGGGTTTTGGTTGCTGTCAGGTCATCGTCAGTTAAGCAGTAAAGTTTAACAGTTTAAAGCTCCTATTTAAGTGTTTAGTGGAATCAAAGATCAAAGCAAGGTTGTGATGATGTTGTGACCTTAAACACGGGAAATAGTGAGGAGAGGTGAAAGAATGGCACGGACAGACAGCTCTCTCTCACGCGTCTGTATTGAGTGAAGGAGGAGGCGCGCATGTGCTGCTGGCTGCAAAACAACAAATAAAACAATAATAAAGGCATGACACGAAATATAAGGAACAGAGATGTACAACTCCAAAACTAATCAAATTTATGATCCACCACAATGACACAAAGAATCAAAGGCATTCCGATGTGTGTGGATGTGCACTTGTGTAATATTGTTCACCCTAAATTTGACCCTAATGAGTTTAATATGAGTGAATTAAAGAAAATGTTAGTTTTGGAGAATTTTGAAATTACGAAACTGAGTCATAAAACTTTTTGTGCATTTGTTTATTTTTTCCTTACACACCCTGTCAAGCTTTTCTCTGTATAGTCATGCCATAGGTTTGGGAGCAAACAAGAAATTGATTAAAATGTTCTCTTTCATTTGAACAATTATCAACTTCATATATATATTCAAGCAGTGTTTTTATAGCTTTTTTAACCCTTGCCTCTCTCCTCACTGGGCTATGGAACATGCAAATATCTTTATGTTTAAATTATAACTCCACATTCTAATCTGACATTTCATTCTATACTCAGCGGACCTGTCAAATGTACAAATATGACTGTGGAATTTGTATAAAATTCGATATGTGATTTACATATTTAATCTTTTATGCAAAGTTTTATCAAGATCACTCTTTTCATCCAGGAGGAAATAAGGAACACACATACATAAAATCTTTATAGTATGATGATTACCCTTAGAAAAGTGGTCCAAAGGCATAATGTTGCATAATGATATTTCAGTTTAAACATGGAAAAAAAAGGATATTAATCTCACGCAGATTTGGATGTTGAACTGGAGCAATGATGCTGGGCAAGACTAGTTTTTAAGCATCTGTGTATACCTGTGCTGTTAGACCAGCAGAAGAATAAAACTAGGTCTGATTTTAATTCAACAAAGTCTTATTTTATTATGAGTGCAGTCTTAACCACAGCTCCATGGTTTATTGAGCAGCATCCTTCAAGATAAAAGGTTTGGATCTTTGCAAAATCAAACCATGTGCATATATTTTTGAAGTACAAGTAGCATTTTTTTTTTTTTTTTTAAACCAAGTCATATAAAGGACTAAATAAAAAAACAAAAGTAACCAACACGATTAAAAACTTTGCCCTGTTAAAGTATGTGTATTGAGAAGAAACCCCAAATATACAAGTCTCTCCTGAGTGCAAATTTTACAGTACGAGTTATTCAATGTACAAAAGCAATATTGATCCAAACATGACAACAAAATGACTTCATGCAAGAAAGAAAACATGTGGGTAATCAAGACCTTTAACAAAATGTTGTACCTAAGGTGCTGACTATTGAATCTGCATGTTGGAACTAATAAGAAAAACCAGCAGTAAAATTATTAAATGCTTCTGAAAAAAATATATAAAGTAAAGGAGCAAAAACCTGGCACAGCACATCTTTACAGCTAGTTACTCCTAATGCTGTTAATCTGCTAATTGTAATGCTATACACATTCTGGTGGCTTAAATGTTTAACAAAACACTTGATTTTTATTAAAATAAATGTGAACTGCTGAAAAGCAACATTTTTACTAAGCTAGGGAAATCAGTTTGAATATTTTAACAACAGCTGCCTTTACAGAACATTAGAAGTAAGACAAATTAGAGGAACTACTGCTCTGGTGTGCAGATGGTTGTGTAAATACAGCTTGTAGATGCTATACTGCAGTTTTCCTGTTACCAGTCTGTAAAACAGCATGTGATACGACAAATAAAGACTATACCCAGTGCGGGCTGCTGTTAGACTGCACACCTGGAGCGAGGGCGTACACAATCTTGCTCACAACTCGATGTCTAACAGTACTGTGAGTGGCAGCTCTCTCTTTGGCTGAGCTTTCTTCTTCTGTATCCTTTTCAAAACTAGCTGAACTTCTGCTCTCTCCCTCCTCCTGCTGGTTCCAGAGAGAGGACAAGGACTCCAGGGTCGAGTGGAGCTCATCTCGTGCAGACATTACGGTCTGAAGACAGGGAAGCTGCAGGGTTGGGGCCCCAATTCCATCCTTGGAAAGGCCGGTGATCAGCTCGTCAACAGCCTTGGCAGAAGAGGAGATCGTATCTCTGCAGCTTTTGAAGTCTTTTCCTAGGAGGAGGGCACCAGGGACAGACTGGTCAACCATCCTTAAATCTACCAACACTGCTGCCACTGAACTATCAGAAAATAATCTGTAAGAGCTAGTGTTGGCCTTTGCCCATCAACGAAGTACATTAGTGTAAGTGTCTTGACACTGTGAATCAAAAGCTTTACCTCGTAAGGCTGTAGACAGAGATGAATGCAACTGTCTAATGGCTTGGTTCAGCTGGAACAGTTTGGTTGATGTCGTCCTCAGTTTCTGCAAAAGTAAAGCCAAAGCGTCCTCCTCCCCTTCCTCTGCCTCCTGTGGTTCCGATTCCCTCTCCTGTTTGCAGACATTAGCACTTACACATAATGACAACAAGACTGCAAACAAACAGGACATGCTTGTAACTTCATCTGTTAAATTACATACAAAACACAACAAAGATCCTACTATAATGTGTAGAAATTTACTATTAACTAAATGCAACCAGTTTTGACTCCTGTATTTTGCTTAAGTTATATTTTAACGGGTGAGCAGAATAGATTTTACACAAAAAGTGAAATAAAAGAATTGCAGCCAGTGCCTGAATCACTACAAGTTGAAAATATTTTGGGTTCAAGCCTCTGCTACATTTACCAATAGTGAGAAAAACACCCTGAAAATAGCTTTTGGAGGATATAACTCAGTTTTATTTGACTACAATAACACTGTGGACAGCATAAAGCCCAGCTGCCTACATGTGTCATGTATTGGTTTGAAAAGGTAAAAAGGCCAAAACAAAACCTGCTACTTTGTGTGGCTAAGATAAGGACAAACAAGCCTGTTAGCTGTGACTTATGCCCCTTCATTCAACACATTCATTATGTGAACGATCACCGAGGGATGACCGCAGAGAGATAAGCTTACGGCACACTAAGCTTTACAGGAGCAATAAAGGCTGAGTGGCATCTTTAATGGGGCTGTTGTGGCAGCGAGTCTTAATCCGTAACATTTAAGCCTGTGTCAAGACGGAGGATCGTTTTTAACCTTTACCTACAGGATGCTCAGCTGAGCGTGCACTGTTGTCTTTTTGCTCTGGTTAAACCAAAACAAGTGCCAGGACTTTTGTAATGAAGCTCCACAAAGCAGATAACAAATGCCATTTATTCCCTCCCCCAAGTTTGACACATATTTTTTAATGATTACATTCTTAATAAAAAAAAAATTAAAAAAAAAAGATAATGAAACAATAGAGGCTAAAAAAAGAAATTTAAGCTGCATTATGTTGTAGATCTGATTGTGAAAAAAACTAAAGGGTTTAGAGAAGGGGTGTCAAACATAAGGCCTGGGGGCAAGAATCGGCCGAGCGAAGACCTGAAACTGGCCCAGTAGAGAGCTTTAGAAAAAAATATGAAGGAGTATGTAAATGTTCAACTTCTAACTGCATTTTCTTAGGTTTTACAGCTTTTCCCATCCACTCCTACTGCCATAAAGTCATTAGTTAAGAGATAAACAATTAAATGACGGGAAAATTACAGTTTTTCCACTTTTGGTGCGCTTGCAGTAAATTAAAAAACAAACATTTATAATTACAGGACAGTCTGTGCAATGAAAAGGAGTTGGACGTCCCTGGTTTAGAGGCTACAGATTGTGATTTTTAATGGATTCTGTTGATGAAACTTACCAAAATATGGCAGTACATGTAGCTCTCCAGAGCACGAGCTAAATCAAGAGTCTTTGATTTAAGGCTCTGGAGGACCTGCGTGTAAAGATGACAGGTATCATGGGTAGCAACTCAATAAGCACTTTAAAAACACACCAGATATAGCATTTCTGTGATATAAATGAGCACAAAAAGGCACGACATTTTAAATAAGTGCGTGATCTCTTACTGAGCTTCTGGGATAGGACAGTTGAGCCTCTCTCAGCATTTCCCTCGTGATGGTGAGGCTCTCCTCCAAGAGAGATCGGATACCCTTACCAGTTCCCTTCATTAGACACGTGACCACTGAAGGCTAACGATTAAAAAAAACAAAAGGACACAAATGACTTTTTATGACCACATTATTCCAGTCAGTTACCAGAGCTACAAAGAATGACAGATTTCAGATTAATTTTCAAACAAACTTTCACCCTTCCAAGATTAATGGGCAGCAACAATTCCAGTGGAAGCAGTAAGGGTGGACTTGGTTTTAACCACTCACAGCTTCTACATTTCGGCTTAATTTTTGTTAAATAAATAATGACAGTGTGTGGTATCATGTTTTATTATTCATATCAGGTTTATGACCTGTTAAGGACCAGATAATTAATTACATCCCAATACATAAAACCTTAGCATTGGTGCACCGTGTTACCATGGCTGTACCTTACACTCACATTCATACAGTTAATAGTTGTGATGAGGGGGCATGAGTAGAGTGGCCCACAGTGCCCAAACAGAGACCTCCCAGCTAAATTATTGGTGGTCTTACCTTGCCCATAGCCTGGGCGCCCAGTCCCGTGACATTCAATGACATGCCTGTCACTACTGCCATGTGTCCAAGCGCAAGTAAAGTTTTATCCAGGCACTGACTAGTTTTCCTTCGGGCTTCTTTCACCATCGATGTGATCTCAGATTCGCAACCCTGGATGTGAGGGCGGGAGAGGAATGTTTCACTCAGCATCGAGTCGGCACAAACAAACTGATACACAGGTTCAGTTCACATTTATTTAATAGTGAATCAATGCAAGCAAGAGAGCACAACAGCCAACAAAGTCTGAAGGGGCAGTAAATAAATTAAAATGCTAGAAAAAATTAAAAGTAAGGATCGAGAGGGGAAAATTGTGTGTTTAGGTGCTGAGAGTGGCAAGGAATTTAGATTTAGTTTCCATATATTCATGTTCTGTTTGGGGCTTCAAGGTTGAGAATTCCCTCAGCTTTGCCATTTTCATAGACAGAGCTCAAACAGCTCAGAGCTAAGACCCGTCAATCAATGCTCTGCATTTTGATTAGCCACCCGTCTCCAAACTACGCAAAATTGAAAATCATTTGTCAGCTTAGATTTTGCACTCTTTTTGACTCATTCATATACTGCAAATGCCAGAAAACCCAGACATCATGTCAATGCATAGCCTTTAACTTAAAAAAAAAAGGCTTGATTTGCCTGAACTCAAAATGGGCGGAGTGTAATGATTAGAGAATAATGATACAATCTGCATGTAGGCTGGCTTAGCCTTTTATCGTCACCAAGCAGAAACCTCAGTTTGAAACTTGTGTACTGTCACTTTAACGTGTGATACCTTTGGGTATTTTTTTTCCTCACCTGAATCAACATCTGGAAGAACCCTCCCATCTTCTTGACTTGGCTTTTAAGTTCCTCAGCAATCGTGTAGAGCAGACCGGAGGAGGGTTTAACACTGGCCAACCACTGCATGGTAACAAACACTGCATTCTCTATGGCTGTCGTGGCCTTCACCAACTCAGTTTGTGCCACCAAATTACCCACAAACACTGCAAAAAAGAAACCACCAAAAAGCACCACAATAAAAGTTTGTGCCCAATAAACACCAGGCCACTTTTATGAATGTGGCCTGGTCATACATGCCTTTTGGCTCAGCTCTTACCTTGGCAGAGGACGAATATCCACAAATTATTCTTCTAATCATTACCTATCCATCGGTAGCTATTGATTTACTAATGTCTATGAAGTTGACTGGAACTCACCACTATCCTGGCTGTCATCATCCAGACTGTCGTATAGGTCAGATATAGTTTGGACAGCCATGTAGACCAGGTTTAGATCTGAGATTAACCGATCTGCCATGCTCTCCTCCGACCCTGTAGAACTACGCAGACGGGCCAGTGATTGGCCAACTAGCTCCTTGCAGATGCCAGGCATCCCAGGGTCTGAGATGCTGGAATGGAGGGAGGGGGATTTGGTCACACCCATTAACCCTGGGTCAGACACAGAGAAGAGTGGGTGATGATCATTTGTCACAAAAAGCAAATGTAGTCGAGTGTTTAACAGCTGTAGCACTGAATGCTGCATGCAGGTCTGAAAATTTATATTCATGTAACAATGTCGCATTTTAGAAAGACAACAAGAGGCAGCTTTTCGCCACTCAATTCCACCGACATTTGCCTTTTAAGAACACGACGTTTAATATTTTATGCATATTTACTTGTGTTTCTTACCAGCAGACTGTGAGGAGCCACTGTAGAGGCTCTGAATGGGATGCACCCGGATCTCGTAGAGACGCCCTGAGATCCTTCTGCTCTTCAGCAAACTCCTGCTTCTAAAGCCAAACCAACCAGAAACCCACTTGGTACCGCTGCCAACGTTCAACATTTATACTGACTTTTTCTTTAGACACAGGAGAATAAACTTTACTTGCAAGAGAAACCCAGAGGTGGAAAGGTCAGTAAATAGAGATGATTGTTTAGGCAAAGGTTTATTGGAGTAAAAGAGCAATATGGTGGAGCCCCAGAGCCTGTGCAGTGTTTCATTTGGCTGTGCCTAGTGGTAGTTTGGGAACACCAGGACTGCTTGACAAGAATAACCACAATGTGAGGGGGAATATATTCTGCATGTACAGCAGGTGCTGTGTGTGTGTGTGTGTCCTCCATACCGCTCCCAAACAAACACCTTGGCCTGACCTGCATGCGAAAATTAATAAACACAAGAAATACACCAAAGAGGGGAATATTTTTGGGTAGAAAGTTTTCAGGAAAAGAGAGAAAACAGGACTGTTTAACTATCAAGAAATATGTGCCAGGTTGTAAATCACAATGTTGGAAACTGGGAGGGCTGTGAAAATAACTCAAGTATTCCAAATTTACTTGAAGTATTTACCATCACTCAACTTTCCACATACGAAAAGTAAAACATTTTTTTTAAAAAGGGAACTGTTTTTGTGGCACGCTTTGTGTCCACAGAGAGAGGGTCAATGCAAATCAGTGCAAAAATGCTCACGTCTATTTTTTCCTTCCTAAAAGCTCTGATGAAGATGAAATTTAAGGTACACTGACACACCCTTCCCTAAGGGACAAGCAGTGTTTTTAAAAACTTTCCCACCTCCATATTTAATCTTATGTAAATGTAAGATGCTAGGAAGAAGGATTTATGGATAGGAGGAGCTGGATAATTACCTTCGTCGAGAAAAGGAGGCAGCGGAGGAAGAAGAGGCTGATATATCTTGCTCCCACTCATCATCGGGGTCGTAAAACACATTGTCATCTTTAGAGCTGGAATCCCCCTGTGGTGAATAAACTCCTGATGACATGTCCACTCTCATTTACTCAGCTTAATGAGAAAAGCATCGCAAAGTGAGGCAGCATCCCTCTGTCGGGCATAAAACAATCCATTCTGGACTATAAATGAGGTCAAACACTTAGGAAATTTGCAAGTGACTGGAGCTGATGTCAGGCTCTGAATTTGCAAAACAAGGAAGAGTCGTGCAGGCTGAAGAGGTGTGCTATGTCTTACTAGAACACAGGTTAATGTGAGAAAGACATGATAGCAAAAAAAGGTTATGAATTTGAACGCAGAATTGATCCCAGACTTACCCGTTCGAGCTCCCTCATGGCAGCAATGTTATTTTGGAACTTTTCCAGACACCAGAAAGTGGCAATTCCCAGCTTTGTGTTTTGAACTCGCACCTGCAGCACACCACCGCACTTCTCATTCTCCGAGCTCTCATGTCTAAAACAGGAGAGTAAAGTCAATAAAAATAATAAGGTCAGAGGTTAACAGCAGCCACGTGTTCATTTACAGCTGTATTTTAGGGAGTAGCTAAATACAAAGACTGGATATAGGTTTACATGCTTTTACTTTTTTTTTTTTTTAATGCCACTGGTTTCTTCATCATTTTTGTGTTTACATGATGCATAATAAAAAAATATCTGCGACTTTTGCCCATCCTTTCTTTCCTACCTGCTGAACACTGTGTGTTTCTTCAGTTTAGCACTGATTTTATTGGCTTCCTCAATCATCAAGGACAACTTCATGGCATCCCACTGTGGAGAGACTGCGACAGAGAAATGAAACATTACCTTCAACTAGGACTGGGCGATATATATCGAGTTTTTAAATATATTGAAATATTTTTATATGATATATGAGATGTGATAATATTGTTTATATCGATATAGTCTATGTTATGTTATAATTATACTTGTGGAGCCACAAGTTTGCCTCTCTTTCGTCCACTTTTGTCTCCACGCAACATTACTCTGCCTCTCTCTACTTCACTGAACACAACTCCCCCTCCCCTATCGCTTCACCTGCAGGCAACAACAAGATCAGCTATCAAAGAGGAGCTGGTCGGTAAAAAGAAAACATTTGGAGATTACTATTTTACTGCTGGTAGCAGTAATCTCGTTAGAATGACGTTAACGCCATAACTGCATTAATGCGGCAAATCTCCGTTAATGAGTTACCGCGGATCGCCCCGAGCATGGGGCTGGATGGCATCAACGTGTTAACGAGCTAACAGCTCTCACACGTTGACGCCATGCAGCCCCATGCACGGGGGCTGCACGGCCTAAAATTCTTTCATTTTCTCAAAACTCGACAGTGCACCTTATGTATGAGTTCTGGTTGTGCTTACTGATCGCGAACCGCTTTTATGTGTTACATTACGGCTACCGTAGTCAGGAGCCTCGTGGAGTACTACGTACTGTACTTCAACGTAATATTACCGTATTGTGTGCGTTTAAGGACCACAAATGGCACCTGTTCATAGACGTGGTTACAACAAGGATTTCAAACTCCAGGCTGTCAGTCACGCAGTAGAACTTGGGAACAGAGCAGATGCGAAATTTGTCTTTGTTATTATGCTCAGGGTCTGTTAGTTTACATTTTGACTGCACAATTGTGAGCTTTTTGTTATGCACAAAAACAACATTGTTTTATTTTATTTATGGAGCATTATTATTTAATAAATGCTGATAATTTATTTCTGAGTAATTTTTTCATGTACATCTACGCTGTATGTTAATAAAAGTGCCAGTGTGAGATCTGGGACACAGTGTGACTAAGAACTCTCTTTTTGTTGTTACTTTATGGCTTTAAAAAAAAATATCGAGATATATATCGCCATCCAGCTAAAGAATATCGAGATATGAATTTTTGGTCATATCGCCCAGTCCTACCTTCAACTAATAGCCCAGAGTTAAATATCATTTGGCTCAGATGATCTTTACTTAGCAGTACAAGACAGTACACAGCAGGGATTCACTGTAAAAAGGAACAGTTGAAATAAGCTACTCACTGGCTATTGCACTCATTTCCACCAACAATTCTCAAAGACCTTATAAGGAATTACAGTAAGATGCAGATCGCTGTGCTCCACATTCTACCGATTAGGGTTGAGAGGCTCATAAACTCCGACATTGCATCCATTCATCTAATATGATCCTCGTACAAACAAATGAACAGAATAAGAGGGCAGCATAATGGTCAGACTCCCCAACACTCCTTACCAAAAAGTCATTTTAACGCAACATTGTCTCGAGTCAAATAAAACCATTGGCTATAAAAGGAGCATCTTAGAGGGGCTTAGAAAATAAGATGGGCAGAGGTTCAACTATCTGCTCCTGTGTCTAATGTTTGTAAAAAAGAAAAACCAACAAATATACTATTATTATAAGACTCCAGGAACCTGAAGAAATATGTGCACAAGGGACAAGGCCAAAGATTAATGCTGAACACCTGTGATCGTCAGGTCTTCAGGCAGCACTGCATTAAAAACAGGCACGATTCAGTCATGGAAATCATTGTCTGTAAACACTGTATGCTGTGTCAAAGAAGAAGCTAACGGCAGTGGGCCAAAGCTCTTCTAAAATGGTCCGAGGCAAAGTGGAAAACTGTTCTGTGGTTAGACAAATTGAAATTTGAAGTTCTTTTAGATAAATGTGGAAACCATTTCTAAACTAGTCTAAAGAGGAGACAGACCATCTGGCTAGTCATCGCCGCCTAGTTCAAAAGCCTGCATCTCTAATAATATGGAGGCCCATTAGTGCTTTACATATTTACTAAGGATTATATGCCTTCAGTGTACGTTGATATAGTGGCAAACAGCTTTTCTCTAATGCTTCTGCTGCTCAGGACAACTCTGCTTACACGATGTGATCCTTACTCCCAAACACGTTCAGTGTTGACTTAACTCTTACCATGTTGGGGCGTATGGTTTTCCCTTAAAGCTCTTTTCTTCTGAATCTCCTCCAGCTCCTTGCCAATCTTTTTCTTTTCCGCCTCCAGGGCCTCGACAATCCTCGCTTGGCGCACACGATGCTCTTCCATAGCCTTGAGTGAGTCATGGTAATGTAAACAACATTAAAAACCATCAGGGTAAAACATTCCGCCTGAAGCCAAGCTCCACGGTGGCTCAAAACGCATCCCAAATGGTTAAACATAAAGCCCAGAGTCAGCATATTTGCTAATGCTCATACATAACATCAGAAAACATGAGGATGAGCGAACGAAAGAGGTGATATAATTAATGAATATAGATTTCCTGTATGCCTACTTCCAGAAAAGCGAGAAGATGACTGCTTGAAAATATCACACATTTCGCCCACCTACTCCCTCCCGCCTACAGTCATAGGGGAAATAAAAGAAAAGGCAACAGTCTCTTTCTGGAAAACCTGATGGTACGGCGCACATTCCTGAGCTATTTTCACTTTCATCCATAAAAAAAATGCCATCAAAAAGTGATTGTTCAAAGTCCTGTTTAATTTTGCCCAATTCCCCTGCAAGGCCGTCTCCACCTGTACCTCATAATGTAGCACCTGAGATCCAAAGGGTTGCAAACACACAAAACCTTCACACAGGAGGCTTCCCATAAAGGCCGACTGGCCAAATGTAAATTGGGTGTGTAAAAAAAAAAAAAAAAAAATTATATATATATATATATATATATATATATATATAATTTTTTTTTTTTTTAAACATGTGCACAAATCAAAATAATCTAGCCCATCCTGTTTTTGTCATTTCCTTAATTTAATCAAAAATCCTAACCTGGGTCTCCATGTGGATACGGAGACGTTTCCTCTGGACATCCACCTCCTGCTCCAACTCCAGCTTGGCAGTTTTGAGCTCTGCCATCTGGCTGGCAACCCTCTGCTTCTCCAACTCCTGTTGGCGCTTCCGCTCATTCTCCTCATTCTGAAGGAACGAAATGCTGGCATTTATCTGCAGTTTGCATAATCTGACAGGGTATGAGAGCGTGCAAAACTCTACTATGTTTAAAGGTTCTTTAAAAATGCACAAGTGTTAAGGAAATACACCTAGCAATTTCAATTTGAGGTTTTAGTTTACAATATTACAGTAAATGAAAATTACAGACTGTCAATAATCTAATACAGGGTTACAATAATAAATGACTGATGATATCATCCAACTGGCCTATTTCTAGATTTTAAAAAAAGAAGAAGAGAAAGTCTCGTATACCAGCTCTCTCTCCAAGGCTCGGATCTTTTCTTCATAGAGCACCTTCTGGTCAGAAAGCTCTTTCTGAGCCACTTCTTTTGCCATCTGGATTCCTTGCATCATCTCCTGCTTTGCTTTAAGATGGGCTTCTTCAATTTCTGCCTCAAGCCTGAGAAACACAAAAATGGGAATTCAGATTTTGAGAGTATGGAATAACATTTTACAGAAAAGCCTCAGTCTGGCCGATTTTCCCTCCACTCACAGCGCTCTTTGAGCTGCAAGGAGCTCGTTTTTAGCAAATTCGAAATCTTTATGACCGTCGCCTTCGCCTGTCCAGCATGACGCTCTCTTCCCAGACTGCACCTCTGCTGGGTGATTAAAGCGGAAGTAGTGATCTCCTCCAAGAATCACCCTGTCGCCCTAGAAGCCGGACAAGAGACACAGATCCAGAGAGAAACCATTTATGAAACGCTTTGGGCCTTGCGTGGACAGACCGTTCCGTTTGATTTACAGAGAGTAACAAAATGAAGCGATAGACGGACAAAAAAGTTAGAACTTGCTGCTTTACTTACATGGTGTAGGACTGTGGATTCAGAGATGAGGTTCCCATTAACAAAAGTCTTGGCGTTTTCCATCGGAATGATGCTGACAGTATCGTGTATGTTGGATATAACACTGAAAAAATATATATAAAGAAAATAAAAACTATTTTAGGTGAAATGCAAAAAAAGTGGCCAAATATCTTCGTAGGGCTACATATTCCTTGGTTATATCCATCTTGATGCAGGTATTCCACCTGACTGAACAATATGCTACTGTTTTCACCCCTCTCTGAGGAGTTGGTCTTACCAGTGCTGGTCAGCAATGAGGGCGCCAGTCAACTGGATATCGTGGCTGGAGTTGGACTTGCCCACCGTAGTGCGACCCTCTTTGATCATGTAGAGAAGCATCTCGGACAGCTGAGGGTCCTCATTCAGATTCACGAGGTTGGGAAGACGGTTGTCCACTTTGAAGGTCACTCCTGCTTTCTGATCACACAGACCAAAAATTATTTATAGAGGGGGGGGTTCATCTCCTTTGTTTTCAGCTTCTTCTTTAACAACATTAGTGTTTGAACACGAGCATGGTGGGTGCAGAATGATAGAGAGAGTAGACTAATAAAATGAAGGTTACACCGAAAAAAGAAATTACCTGCAACTCTTTGGTCTCTTCACGCTTGCGAATTTCTGCTTGCTCAAGTTTCTCCCTCCACGCCCTGCCGGAAAATTTGAAAAAAAAATAATAATAATAATAATTTATAACCAAAAGCAAAAATGACATAAGAACAAATTCTACCACTAACATCACCCACTGCTAAGTAAACCCCAAGTCATATATTGATATCAGCATTTATAATGGCCGATAAATAAAAAGGTTTTAAAGAAGAGATGGGAGAAACACCCTTCAACCAAGTTAAGAGGGTTGACGTTGCTTAGTTCATCCACCAGAGGGCACTCTGCAGCTTTCCACTTGAGAACACAAGTGTTTAGAAAGCAGCAAAAATAACCAGCTGATCAAAGCAGAGCATAATTTCCATCATTTCCTTCAGGATTAATAAAGTATTTCTGATTCTGATAAATGAGTAGCGCACAACTTCCTGTGATAATAAATCCTGATTATATTGAAAGAGCATTGTCATAATATCTAAATAACCACACATAACAAATATTTTATTTAAAATTTCTATATTAGTTGGGCTCTACTTAACATCTTTGTCATGCTAAAAATGTCTGATTTTTATTTCTAATATCAGAATGTTGAATGTTTTAGCCTAATAAAAATATACACTGGAAAGAAGTAAATCTTTCTGTTATTAGAACTCAATAACAAACTGTATGTATCAAGACTGCACAAATACACAGAAACATATAGATCACTGTAAATATACTATTACTTTGTGTGAGTGTGAAGAATAACTTTAAAACTAGCTTTCATTTGACCCCCTCCACTGCAAAAAGAGAACTGTTCATTTGAGGATTCAGTAGGATTATAGCAGTAATGCTGACCGATTGGCCTCAATCATTTCCCTCTCTTGCTGACAGAGTTTATTCTTCAAGGTGGAGATCTCCTGCTGGAAGAGCCTCACTCTCTCTGGTTCGACGCCCTGGGAGCTCATCTGGGCTGCTAGCAGCTTCTCCACCTCTGCCTTTAGCTCTGAAACACACAAAATTCATCCAGATTGTTTCCTACTGAGAAAACTGTTGCAGCAAGATTATGTAAATGTGCAGATATGATGCCACTTTAGAGAGGAATATTCAGATTTGGTCAGCAAACTGCTCGATACTGTCCCTCACTGAAGTTGACTGGTTTGTCTGTCTGAGTCACATTCACTTTGAGCATCTCCCGCTGACAGGCATCGTGAATGAAATCCACAGCAAGAGCTCCCCTTAGTGCTAAAAACGTCAAACAGCAGCGCTATCATCTTATGGAAAAATAATACTTGCATGACAGTTAGCCGCCATGTGCAACTGACAGTGCATAAATATGGCCTGGAGGCAAGGTTAGGGCCAGGCTTTAATTTCAACTGGATAGCGCAAGAGCTGGTGATGGATAAACGGGCCGACAGGCGGGAGGGTGAGTGGTAAAGGAGGAGAGCGAAAGCGATCGGGAGCGAGTGCCTAACAGGAACACAATCACATATAAAGAAAAACACAGGGATGAACAAAAGAGAGAGAGGAAAAAGGCTGATGAAGGAGGAGCTGAAGGACAGACATGAAAATATTTATATGTGTGTGTGTGAGAGAGAGTTCTTACAGTCCAAAAATACTGACTACACCTGTGAAGCTACTCTGTGGTTTTGGTTGTAAAAAAGGAAATACAGGTGTGGCTTTGTGTGTTGAAAGGCAGATGTTCAGGTTTACAAAGAACTACAGGGGAAAAAAGGAAAAAGAATCTCTCATATAAAAATGACTTTCCCTCCCTCTCTTTTTTTAGTTTATAAGGTGACCAAGGATTTGTCCAGGCTCACATGTCAAACCAACACAGTAAGTGTGCCTGAAACCCTGCTTTAGACATAAGGCTTATAAATAGATACCTTTTGTCTACAGTATACAAATTTTTAAGCATGTTATGGATGTCTGACCTCTGATGAGCTTGGCATTGGTGTCCTCATTGACCTTGGCCACATTTATGATTGTGCGGGCTTGCTGGGCATAGCGTAGAGTGCTCAGGCTCTCCTCCACGTTGCTGCCCGCCGGGCTCAGCGTAGCGATCATGGCCGTCTTAGAGTTACCGCCGAGGCTCTCCTTCAACAGCCTGCAGGTGACAATTAGAGGAGAACCGTCACTGTGATTGCTGACAAACAAACAAATACAAATAAAGAAATTGTGCACAAGCACACTGTTCCCTCACCATGTAAGGACAGAGTCTCTGTACGGTATGAAGACTTTCTTCTTGGTCAGCGCTTGTTCTGATAAGGCAGAGATGACCTTTCCGAGCGTCAGCAGTGATTTGTTGATGCTGGCGCCCTCCTATAAAGACATCGTTTTGAATAAAATAAGCATAGAAAAATTAATGAACAGGCCAACAATGCAAAGAAACCAGAGCCTTCTGAGACAAGAGACTGTACTCTGATTTGTGAATGATAAAATTATATACCGTGGTTCACCTAAAAGTCTCCATCTCCAATCTCCAACAAGCAATGATTAACTGCTTAATGACTTAACCACACATGGTAGTTAACATGTGCTCACCCTGAGTCGGTCTCCACTGGTCTGGGCAGAGTGGCAGCGTTCGCTGCCTGCCAGATCGATCAAGTTGATCCTGCTGGTGATACTGTGGTCATGTTCCTCGCCTTCCACAAGCTCAGTCTGCACACACAAACACAAATGGACTCACAGGCACTTAATGTAAGCACGATTCATCCGCTCCCCCGTGCTAACGTATTTTTTTACATAAAAACTCAAAGAGGGAAAAGAGGTGTAAATACACAGTGAAGACAGTACCTTAGTCTGGGTCATGACCAAGGTGAAGACAGAGTGAGATCTGGAGCTCTTGTCATTCATTCCTGTGGCTGCTGTGGCTCTCTGCTTATTGCCGAGCTCCAGCCAGCCCTAAAGAAGAAGAAAAAAGTACTTTAAATTATTATTGATTCTCTGTGTGAAATCTCACTTGAAGATATTCATTTCCATGACAAGCCTTTCAGATTCGGTTAACAGGCTTTTTGTCTGCTTGACACTGAAGACCTAGCTTGTTCTTGAAAGCACCCACTAATAAAAAGACAACTGGTTCATCTTACCTGAACATCATTGTAAGAGCGCACCACATTCCTGTGAAGAAACAGCAAGCTGAGCAATTCTGAAAAAGGTACCATCCAAGAATGTTCAAGCTTTCAGCGAATAAAGAGAGAAAGACGAGATTTTCTTACGCTGAGAGCTCAGCGACATAAGGCCCGTGGACCGGATGCTCTCTCACCCTCAGCTGGAAAACAAATCCAAACAAAGGTTTTCTACATTTTCCCCCCCTGTGTTAAGTCAACCACAGTGGCAAGTTAGCAATAAAAACATGTGGCAGGGATGAGTGTCACTAAACAGCAAACTACTCACGGGCATCGTCCTCTGGTTTGGTTCTTCTCTGGTCACCAGCAGGTCATGGATCTTCTCATTGTACACTTCAAAGTAGCTCATCTCTACATGACATTTGACCTGAGATTCAAAAGGGACCCAAAACAGATCATTTAATTATTTTTCAGATAAAAATGAAATTGGAATAGAAATGTAAAAAAACAAAGAGAGAGCTTACCTCTTCACTTTTTATTGAGGCCAGTTTAGAAAAAAGCTCATGGCAGAATTTTGGGATCACCCCTACCTCCTCCTCAAAACCCATCATCCTGCAAAACAATCAGTCTTAACACATCAAAGTGACAGATTACAGTACAAAAGTAAAAAACAAAACAAAACAAATGACCACATAAGTGAGAACACTGATGTAAATGAAAAGTGAGTCCACTCACGTGTATGATTTACCAGAACCTGTCTGGCCATAGGCAAACAAGCAGGTGTTAAATCCTTCAAAGGCCCTCAGCAGCAGAGGTTTGGCCAGCGTCTCATACACGGTCTGCTGGCAGGCAAAGTTGGAGTCACTGGCATCCACTGAGCAGAAAGAGAAGTCGTAGGTGAAGGAGTAGCTCTGTTTGGACTCTGGATGCTGGACCACAGTCTCCTGGCCATTCATGAAGATGACCTGTGAGGACTTCTCAGCTTTCTCCCTGTAATAGAGCAGAACAAAAAACTTCAGAGATGTGTTGTTTGTCTTTCTTTAAACAAGTAGCATGCCAGTGTTTTATACACAGATTCCAGAACCAGACTTTAATATACTGACAAGGGGGCCTGCTTCTCAGTCACCCAGCAGTTAAACACTAACCTGGCACTGAAGGGGCGGACACGCACAGCCACCGTAACAGCACTGTTTTCCATTTTTAGTAAGTCCTGCTGCTTCAGACCCTCACTGGTACTGGGCAGGATCTGTTCAGGAGGAGCAGGATCGGATGTCCTGACCTGGGTCACGTCTCCCTTTTGGTTCGAGGTCTTTGTCTTTATCACCTGCAGCGTCGTGTCAGGTCTTCGCACACCTGAGGTCGTCTTGCTGATCCGAGGAGCCGGGAAGGGTTTAGTGTTTTCGGCTTGCTGTGCTCGGGGTTTGGGCCTTTCCAGACTGGCAGATTTGACCAACGCTGGCTTGGGAGCTTCTTTCCCTGCCAGTCTCTCAAACACGTCTCGTTTGGCAGCGATTCTCTCAAACGGGGTCTTTCTGGTCGGCGTTTTAAAGGTATGGGTCTCGTCTGTGTTTCTACTTGAAGATGAAGAAGAGGAGGAGGTTTTGTTCTGCGCAAACCTCCCTTGTGTTTGCACATGAGTCGCAGTTTCTCTTAAGCTCATTGACCTGAATAAACCAGGTGTCCTCCCGTTTGGTTCACCGAGAACTTTGGGCGTTGACTGCAGGCCACCAGGCTGCCCACGTCCGCTCTTGTCCATGGAGGGAGTCCTGGTCCTGCGCTGCAGAGTCAGTCTCTTCTCCGGAGCTGCTGTGGTGCTTTGGCTGCTGTCTGTCATCGTTTGTTCAGCCGTTTCGGCCCCGGTCTTCCTCTTTGACCGTCTTTGTAGGGTGAGCCGGGCTCGGTAAGGGGTCTGCTGCCCGCTGCCACTCTTTGACAGGGCAGAGACGACATACGTCCTGTTCACCGGACGGCTTTTATCTGATGACCTGCTGTCTTCACATGCAGACTCCCCTGATGCGGTCACACTTTTGCCCAGCGTCGTGCCGGCTATCTTTCGCTCTCGGCCGGGTGTCCTGGACGTTGATGTTGACAGCAGATTGTCGTAATAAGCGGTGTGTTTCCGCCCTTGTACGCTAAATATCGACATGGCTGTGGACTGTTAGAAACCTAAACGGTGTAATTACGAGACAGGCGAGTTAACGGCAGATGCACTTTACACATTTAAAAACCACGTAAATTGGACGTAAGTATGACTCCATATGTTAGTTAAAGGAAAATAAAAATCCATTCGAATAAATTATTACTTGCACTTGCGAAAAAAAACTTCTTTTGTTTATGTTCGCCTGCTCGCTTCCGCCTCTACCCGCTTCAATTTCAAATCGTCACCGTCACTGGCAGCTGATTGGCTGGATTCTCTGAAAATGCTACGTCACGTCATGGTCGCGACCTGTAGGCACTTTATGATACCGCTAGATGGCAGCACAATACCGAGCCACAATAAGTAAACTGTGAACGATAGTCATCTCTGAGATTGCGTACCAGTGGAAAAAATGTGCTAGTCATAAGTTCCCATCTAAATTTAGTCCTTTACCGTTAAAATAAACGAAATGTCTCAAACTCCCTAACATCTACTGCGGAAGACAGTGAGATATAAATAAAACATCCAGAGAAACTTTGAGAAAAACTTACCTTTTAGTTGGAATAATATATGAGAATAAAATCAGACTGATTAAAGTTTGTATAAATGGCAGGGTGCGTTCAGTGCCTTGCTCAAAAGCATCTGGACCTTAGTTCAAGTCTGGATTAATGAGGATTCTTATTCTTCTTTCAGTGCCCCTTTCATACTCCTCTATCACCGTGTGCCACTAGTGCCAGTTCCAAGCCTGGAAAAATGTGGAAGATTGTGTGGAGCTTTTTGATTAAGTCACTTTGCATTAATCATACAAAACACAGATCTAAAAAAAAAAAACAGATACAGAAAACACATTTATTTATAAATGAAATATACAAACTAAACATTTACAGGTTACTCAATAAATAAGCACCATTCCATGAAAGATTGGAAGAAGTTGCTACTTCTTGCGACGGTCATGTTTCTTTATGATGTCCAGGAGGTTATTTGTGGTAACCAGTGAATCCTCGTGGTCCTTCTTGTTTCTCTGCTTTTCTCTCCTTTGCTGTTCATGGAGGTGCGGTGAGTTTAAGAGCTGAGGGGGCAAAATGGAGCCAGTGGGTTTGACTCGACTCACCACCTCCAGGAACAGCCGTTTGTTGTTGTTGTTGAGAAGAGTGATGGCTGTTCCTCTGTGTCCAAGCCGACCTGCTCTTCCCACCTAGATGGGAAAAAAAGGTAATATTAGATTAGCTGTTGTAATTGAAAGGTTTTCCTAATGAAACTACATCAAAGTGATACTAAGCAGTGCTGACTAACCTGGTGGACATACTCATCCATTGTGTTTGGCATATCAAAGTTAACCACCAGTCTGACATTGACCAGGTCCAGCCCTCTGCCCAGAACACCTGTACTGATCACTACCTCAAAGTCACCATCCAGAAGACCCTGAAGAGAAAACCACAATTAGAAGTCTGTATGTACCACATACAGCAGACATTAATAATGAACTGCATTTACTGGCAAGCCTGTTTTTATTAGCATGTTGTTCCCATAATTATATTTTACACACAGCAGATAACAAAGCAAGGTGTCCATAAAATAATTCAGCATATTTATGTCTGATACAATCAGCCAGTAAAATTACATACTCTAAAAGTGGGACTCTGGGATTATAAATCATTTTGACTCCTAATAATTTAGATTTATTCTGGATTATTTCAGGCCTTGTCTAACTGTTTCAATAAAGTCACACCTCTTTAGTCACCTGTTCACCTATAGAAGTTGTGATCTTGGAAAAGAAAAAAATTGTCAGTATTTAAGAAGAAAAGCACGTAAATGGAAAAACAGTGTTTTTTTCTGCATTGTGTCTCTTTGCATTGGACATGCAGACTAAAGCTAGATCCCTGGGGAAAGCCTCAGCTGTGGGTATCTGTCTGTGCTGTTGAAGATAAACACTTTAGGACACCAAACATGGAAGCATTGTTTGGTTTTTCTTCCCTGTGCATGTTTTCCCACTGGTCTCACCCGGAGGATGCGGTTGCGCTCCCACTGGCTCTTGTCAGAGTGGATTGCCACGGCAGTGAGGCCCGTCACCTTGGCGACTGCCTCGCAGAGCAGATCAGCGCCGAGTTTACTCTCTACAAACACTACCACTGGAGGCTGGTACAGCTTACCATCCTGAAAAGTGACAAAATAATTTTTTTTTAACATTTTACATATTTTCTATACAAAAATATTGCCAAAAAAGCTATACAACTAATACATTATGTATACTATGTGCCTGTAGAGGCATCTACATATCTGGATACATTCCAGCACTCCAACAGGTAACTGTAACTTGACAAGACAGGAAGGAAGAAATGCATACTCCCAATCATACCTTCTTAATTTCACTGTTCTTTAGGAGAACATTCTGTAATCTTGAGCCAACTATTATGCACTATGCTGTAAGACCTGCAATATATGAAGCAACTGCTTTGATTAGTTTTTGAGTCATGTCCACTCCAGATAGTTGGTTTTCTTGTCATGTCTTGTCCAAATCCCAGTTTTGTACCTCTGCAATTCCACAATTCACTCACCACTCGTGAGACAATAGCTTTACACTATGAGTTACTGAGTTATAAGAAAAGAGTCTTATGTTACTCAAACTACAACCTAAGAGCACTTTTCTACTTCAAGTTAATTAAAGTCGACCATTTCTGTTTTATATAAACAGTGCAAACTATTGCTGGGATTCCTGGAGTGGTGCCGTGGCTCTGTGCCCACCCGTTTCCTTCAGATAGAGGCCAGAGTGTCCACAGTGGCTGTCTAAATATGGCAGAAGGGGAGGCTGGTTCTTTATTGGACTTTATAATATTCCCACCAACAATAGCCAGCTGTTAAAATACCAAGCTGGTATCAGTGCGTGTCAAGACTGAGCAGTAAATGAACTGTAACCTAAAACTGATCTAATGAAAAACTTTGTGTTTTTCTTCTAAAGTACTTTCTTTGAGTGCAATGACCAATTAGACCTTTTTTGAATTCAAAAACTAAAAATATCTACTGACCAGTAAAAGAAACCATATGCTGGCAGTGGAGGTGTGTCCAGAAATACTCCACTTATAATAAACCTTTTAAGACTTCATGATTTTTAATCTAAAAACTCAAAGTTAAGATTGAAAAGCATCTAATCTATGACCTACGTTGAGAATCTCAAACAGCTTCTTCTTTTTGGAAGGTTCCTCTACCCAAAGCAGGATCTGTCGGACGTTGGCGCACGGCTGGTTCTTCTCCCCAATAGTGATACGTACAGGGTCACGGACCAACCGGGCAGCCAGCTCCTCCGTCCCGGTGGGGATGGTGGCCGACGCCAGAAGAGTCTGATGTTCTTCTGGGACTTGCTCAAGAACCTCCAGAACCTGCTGCTGGAAGCCCATCTTCAACATAGTGTCCACCTACAGGATGCAGCACAACTTTCATGTTGCAGGACTCTCAAAACTGATTTGAATGATGAATACTTTCAAAAGCTGTCATTATGTTGTTTGTTCTAAAAGACACAACTTTTACATTACTAATCCTTAAAGCTATATAAATTGAATTGAACTGAATTACTTTGTCTTAAAGTGCACAGTTTTTGTCAATTGTGAATTTCAATATGTTTGTCCTACCTCGTCAACCACCACAATCTTCACTTTGTCAAGCTTCAGCTCTTTCTGCTTCAAGATTTCAATGAGCCGCCCAGGAGTAGCGATGACAATCTAAAGGAGATTTAGAAATGAACAAAACCATGGCATGGGACAAATGTACAGCCTCAAGCTTTGACTGCAGCAGGAGGAAATTATTGTTTAAGAAAAACAAAACAAAACGGAGACTGTACTTTGATGCTGCTCTTCAGGCGGTGGAGCTGTGGGGGAAGCGGCATGCCTCCGACCAGCAGGGCAGTTCTCATGTTGGGGAGTCCCATCACAAGCTCCTTGGCCTGTCTCTCTATCTGAATGGCCAACTCCCTGGTGGGGGTCAGGATCAAAGCCACAGGGCTGCCCACACTGTGTGCTGATTTCTGAAAGCAGAAGCAATGTTGCACACTGCATGTCACCAAGAGAGCATTTGTGAATTTTTAAATGTAAAATTGTTTGTGTCTTTTTGAGAATACATTTATTCAATTCGACTCTTTTATCTGCAGAGGTCACTGGCAGCTACGGAGCAGCTTTTCTGTCAGATACTGGAGTCTAGTGTCTTCCTAAGGGGTAGCTCAGGAGGGCAAATGCTTGATACAAAAGCAGATTCAGTCCAGATTTACATATTTAGATCTGGGCTGTGGTGCTATTTATCCAGGCTGTAGAAATGTCTGCCTCCTCAAATATAATTTAACTTGATGGCATTTGCATGTGGCATATTAGCTTCAATACTGTACCTCGAGTGCCCTCACGACCACTGGCAGCAGAAAGGCTACAGTCTTCCCCGATCCTGTGTCAGCGCTCGCAATCACATCCCTGCCTGTGAGGCCAACAGGGACCATCTGTATCTGGACTGGGGTAGGTGTGTCATACCCCGCCTTTTTCAGGTTACCACTTAATGTGGGAGGGAAGCTGCAGTGCTCAAATTCAACAACAGGTCTTGCGACATCTCTCCCCTGGGTTTCTATGCCCAGCTCCTGTTTAATTCGTTGCACTTGCTCCTCTGTTAGGCCTGATATGAACCGATCTTCCCTGTAGGAGTAGCCTGGTTCACTTTCAACCACCCTACCAGGGTCAGCAGCTGGCTGTTGACTTTGAACAGTCCTTTCATGTCTATTTTGGTCCTTTTGCATAAATGCATCTGCCCCAGTCCCCATGCCCATTTGCACTAAATGGCTGGCTTTGCATTCGAGACTGCAAACATCATTATCTGTAGCATCACAGATGTACTCTCCATAGCGACCACACATCACACAGACAGGTTCTCCTGGCCCAGGCCATCTCTGGTTCTTTTTAAATGATTTCACTGGTTCCTCATCATCATCATCAACATCACTGTCATCTGAGAGGGAGCTGTGTCCATCTTCGGGTGCTAAGCTCTCTGCAGCTGCGTGTGTTGTCGCATCTCGTGTTTGGGTGTCTTCACATGCTTCCTCGCTCTGAGCAGGTGTCTCGGAGCTACTTTTGCTATCCTCCTCTTGAACAACTTTGCTTTTCTTAACCACAACTTGAGCCGATCCCTCGGCAGGTCTCTTCACCTTCAGGGCTCGTGGCAGAAACATGTTTAAATACTACCTGTAAC